AGGCAACTGCTGGGCTTTCCAGGGGCCACAGGGCTTCGCTGTGGTCCGCCTCTCTGCCCGCATCCGCCCCACGGCCGTGACCTTAGAGCATGTGCCCAAGGCTTTGTCACCCAACAGCACCATCTCCAGTGCCCCCAAGGACTTTGCCATTTTTGTGAGTATCTGTCCCATGGCAGGGCCAGAAGAGCTACAGGGGGATCCTGTGGGCCTCTCTACTGAGGATCAAGCCAGGGTCACCCTTGGACTAGGAGGGAAGGGAGTGGATTTGGAAGAGGTGGAGCCAGCATGGGAGACAGCACTTCAGTTCCCATTCCCTCAGGCTTTGGAGGCAGAAACTGTGGCACAAGGGAGTTGAGTGGCTTGTCATAGGCCATGCTGGTACCTCACCTGCTGGGTGGGAGGAACAGGGATTGGAGTGGGGAGGAGGGTGTTCTTCTCCCTGCTCCAGCCCCTCCCCACATCCCTCCACTCTCTTTGCAGGGATTTGATGAAGACCTACAGCAGGAGGGGACACTCCTTGGCAAGTTCACTTATGATCAGGATGGCGAGCCCATTCAGACGTTTCACTTTCAGGTACAGGATTCTCCTGTGCTAGCAGAAGTGGCGCACAGATTCCCCATCTGGGTAGCAGGCATTCCCTGGGCACTTCCCCTGCCAGGCGTGGGGCTCAGAGTGGGATGCCCTGCCCTCCTTTCCCACAGCTCAAGAGGTGACATCCAAATCGGGGGTGTAAGACATGTCCTGCAGATGTCAGCATAGGGGAAGGTGCCTTCCAGAAGGGCAGCATAAGGAAAGCTTCCTGGGAAAGGGCACCAGGAGGTGGGCTTTACACAAGAGGGATTGGGTGGCCAGGAAAGGAAGGCCAGGGGAGGCATTCAAGGAGCTGCCGCCAGCAGGTGCCAGGGCATGGGCATTCTACCTGAGGCCTGGGGCCTCAGGCAGGGCATGTGGCTTAAACTTTAGTGGGCAGCTCATCTCCTAGGTCAGTTAGAAATGCAAATTCTCAGTCTCCACCCCAGAAAAGTCTGATTCCTTAGGGCTGACAGGACCCAGAAGCCTGCATATGAATAAACCATTGGCCTGAGCCCCACACAGGGGGGAGTTCTGGAGTGAAGAAGTGGGTTGCAGGGATAGTGGGAGGTAGACAAGGGACACTGGCAGGAAGAGAGGCTGCAGAGAGGCAGGAATTCATCCCTCAGGGGTCTAGGGGAGGCAGTGCTGTGCTTCAGGTGACAAAGCCATGTCCATTTGACTAACATCACTGTGACTTGAAGCGGGTGGGCCTGGGCCCAGTTTGCAGGGAAGCAGCCAGAACAGGATAGGTGGGGGAGGGGCATTGGGAGTGAGGACAGAGACTTAGTAGGGAGGGTCCTGAATGTCAGGCTGGAGTGAAAGGGGATGGGGAGGCTGCTAGGAAGGGGACTGATGCAGAGCAGGGAGCAGGTCTGGCTGAGTCTGAGGCACCTGCGGGGCAGTCCAGTGGAGCTGTCAGGACAGCCAGAAAGAGCTGAGTTGTTTAGCTCTGAGGTGGTAACTAGGCTGTAAGAGAGGTTGTGATTTCTCTTTAGGAAAGTATAGCACCCAGACGAGGTGGCTCATGCCTATAATCCTCGCACTTTGTGAGGCCAAGGCGAGGGGATCACTTGAGCCCAGGAGTTCAAGACCAGCCTGGTAAACACAGTGAGAGCCTGTCTCTACAAAAATTGTTTAAAAATCTAGCCGGGTGTGGTAGCGTGCACCTGTGGTCCCAGCTACTGGGGAGGCTAAGGTGGAAGGATGCGTTGAGCCCAGAAGTTTGAGGCAGTGAACCGTGATCACATCACTGCACTCCAGCATGGGCGACAGAGCAAGACCCTGTCTCAAAAACAAACAAAACAAGTAGAGGACGGAAGGATGTGCCAGAGAGAAGGGGACAAGTCAGGAGTGTGCTAGGCCTGTGGCATCTGCTCAGGTAAGATATGGTGCAAACGCTGTTTCCAACACTGTGACTAGACAGAGGCCTGAGGGGTACTTGAGATAAGGAATCAAGTGTGCCACACATCAGCATCTAGGAAACCTTCTATGGAGGTGGTTCTATCTGTTCATCACAATAAAAAAAGTGATTGTGGAGAATTCATTCCAGTTTCAGATGAATCATGCTACAGGTGGCCCCTTAGCCCACTGGCTGGAAACACTGCTCGGGGACTACACAGGAGCTTTTGAAGTGCGGTTCTCTCCAGAGCCCTAGGGGAGGAGCAGAGGAGCCCTATAGCCCTAGGTGTGGCCGTCTCCCCAGATTCCCGCCTTCTCTGTCAGTGAGGCCTCACAGGTCTCTGATGCTCTTAATCCCTTTTCTCTCTACCCAGGCCCCTATGATGGCCACGTACCAGGTGGTGGAGCTGCGGATCCTGACTAACTGGGGCCACCCAGAATATACCTGCATCTACCGCTTCAGAGTGCACGGGGAGCCCACCCACTAGCCCTGCTTTCCAGTGCCCTGCTGCCAGCCATCTGGGAGTAGGTGAACAGCACCTCGCCGCTTCCCCCACACGCTTGCTCGGCGCTCTGACTTCCAGGAGCATGAGAGGAGCCTGTGGCCCCATAGAGATGAGCAGGGTCTCCGGAGCAGCAGATGGCTCGAGGTGGCCAGCAGCTCCCTTCCTTCCCTCCATGCCAGGGGTGTCTGCTTCCCCTCCTGGGAACGTGTATATATGTAGCATATCATGGGGTATTGGGAAGTTGGGAGAGGTGAGACCTGGCTGCCTTTGCCTGGGGCCAGGGGCTGGTACCCAGGAGCTGCTACAGGGAGGCCCATGGAGGAAGCAGGTGTCAGGGCTGTCAGAGGGGAGAGCTAGGGCCTGGGCTAGGTGAGCTGCCCCGTGTAGGGAAGCAAGGCCCTCTGGGAGGAGGGTATTCAGCTCCAGGGCAGGATGGGAGTCTCCCCAGGCAAGAAGCGCCTGATGTAGGGGTGCCCTCCACCTAAAGCCTGAACCACAGGGTCCCTGAGGGACTTCTACAGAAGCGTGTATTTGTCCCGGGGAGGGCCATGGGGCTTCTTGTGCCCTAACGGAGCCTAGCTCCTGTGAGCTTCTAAGGGGCTCAGGGCCAACCCTGTAGGATTCCCCTCTGCTGGGGACAGTAGTTGCTTTTCTCTCCTGATGCTGGGTTGGGGCCCACCCTGCTCTGCATTCCTGCTGGGGCCTGCCAGTGCCCGAGCTTGCTTTCCACATTCTCCTGCGGTGCAGAGACCCAGACCTGTCTTTGGGCCATTAGCATCTGGGGTTAGCAAGAATAGTGGGGAGCATGGAACTCCCTGGGCTCTGTGGGGACATTCAGGATATCGGGGTGGGAGGTCTGTCTGCACTGGCCCCTCATCTAACCAGGCCCTGATGTAGAGGCCCTCCATTCAGGCTGCCCCTTGGGCTTTAGCAGCCCTTGTTCAGGTAGTCTCCTTTCTGGTTTGTTCTCTGTAGGGCAGTTGGGGGGGGCAGAGGCTGGCAGAAGTTACCCTGGGTAGGGAAGGGGGCAGAGGGGACTTTTAGAGCCAGCAGGTCCCACTGTATTATGTATATATTTTTCAAGGTCTGTTTTTCTAACTGAAAAGCTAAGGGCTTGGTTCCTAGCCCCGTTCTGTGGGGCACTGGGTGATACTCAGGTCCTTGTTCCTGGCAGTGGAGGGGCTTGGGGCACTGGTTCTGGCTGTGTTTGGTGGTCTGGCTGCCGGGAAGGGGCAGGAGGGCAGGCTGGCCCCTTCACTGCAGCGCAGAGCCTCAATCCACAGTGGTGGTCAGGCCGCCCAGGTAGCCAGGCTTTGTTTTGTGCTCTCCTGTCACAAATGCTGCACTATTGGTTCTTAGGTTTTGTATCTCCAGATCCTAATTTATGTCTATGCAAAAAATAAATGATGCCCAGGAGCTGTGGGATGTGGCTTTCATGTGGCCTTTGCACCTCACCCAGGGCAGTTGTGGAAATGAATTCTTGGCCAAATGAATGTCCCCAAAGACTTACTCCTACAGTTCAGACACCCACACCTTTCACCTAAAGCCCAGTTGTGGTGGTGGATGGGACCTGAGTCAGTCTCCTCCACTGTTTGTGGGTCCAGGGCTGGCACGAGGAAGAAGTGAGGTGGCTTTATTAGCTGTCATTGATAACCCCATCACTAAGGACGGCAGCCGGGGGCGGGGGGGTGCTTTCCCATCTCTCTGTGCCACTGAGCAGAAGCAGAAAAAGTTGCACTTACCTACTGGCCATGTCCACTTGGAGTGCAGTGATTCTCCATGGGAATTCACTACTTGCCCCTTGGACCTGTGGCTGGAAGGGACAAGGAGGTAGGGCCCTTGAACAGCCAGCAGCTGTCAGCTCAGGGGGAAAAGCAGGCCCTGACCTTTCCCGCAGACAGCTCCCCAGACATAATTCAGGGTGGTTCTCTAGCCTGACTCTGGAGCCTCTCATACTGTGGCACCTGGCCCAGGGCTGGTCCTCATCATGGCTGAGCAAATAAAGGCAGAAACCCAGTCAATAGAAAGGGCTGTGGAGACAGCCACAAGGTAGGGACTGGGTGGGGCAGAAATCCAGCCCCAGAATCCTCGGGCCAGCTCCTCAGCCTCTTGGGAAAGAGCTGGTCCTGTGCTCGCTCCCCTTCACTAACACCTGCTCTGCCTCTGGCGCTGTCTCAACAAAGGAGACATCCCTGAGCAGCACCGATAACCAAGTCCCTGGAGCCCAGAGCCTGGGCTGGGCACGTGCCCTCTGCCTGTCTGTATACACTTAAATCCTACTGGGCCCGCACAGCCCCCACGCTGCCTGCTCCACGCCACTTCCCCCAACCCAAATCAACTTGAGCTGCCCCCGTGTGTGGCATACTCCTCTGACCTCCTCTGTGCCAGGGAGTCTGATGAGCCGAAACAGTCCTGACTGTGGAGTTAGGGATCTGGCCATCCCCATCCCACCATCACAGGCGTTACTCCTGGGAAAGACGCCACAAATGCCTGTTGCACACACACAAGGGTCAGGCCTTGCCATTCCAGGTGATTGGATTAAGAATTTTATTCTGCATTCACTACAAAAGGGCTGGTGTTTTGTTCCAAGTGTTTAGCTGGAAGGGCTGTAGGGACCCCGTTAAACACAGTAAAGCATGGTTCCAGTCAGCCTCCTGCTGGCAGGTGTGGGCCTGGCAAGTACCCAGATCCAACCCCACCCTCCTGAGTGTCTGTGGCCAGAGGCCAAGGTGGTCACCAGAGCTCCTGAATGCCAAGAATGGTTCTGGCAACTACTGCTGTTTGTAGGAGCAAAGAGTTCAAATAAAATGAGGTTCTGCCATGGCTAAGTCCTGTGGAAACCCAGACCCCAAAGGCCCCTGCCATGCCAGTGGGCTCAATGCCAGAGGCCCCTGTAAGCAGAGCTGGGACAGAGAACAGGAGGGAAGCAGCCAAGAGACAGAAGACCGGGCTGGGCCAGCAGACACACAGGAGCAGCTGCCTGGGAAAAGCCAGGGGGCAAGGCTGGCACGGGAATGAACAGCTGCTGGTGACATTTCTGAGCGTCAGTTTCCTTAACCAGAAAAACAACAAACATCGACTCAGATGGCTGCAGGGAATGTCAACACTAGTGCGTGAGACCCCTGACAGTCCTAGCTGCAGCTCTCCCTTCGAGCCTGCCCAGGGCACGGAGATGGCAGGGTGGGTAACAGCATGCAGACCACTCACTAAGGGAGCCCTTCCTGAGTGCAGGACACCCCAGGGTCTCACACAACCTTGATGTACTGCTTTGCCTCAGATGAGGAAACAGGTTCAGAGAAGGTTGCTAAATTTGTCCCGTGTCACCAGCTGGTCAGGCAGCCTGAACACGGAAGCCACACCTGCCTGACCAGGGAAGCTGGCCTCCTCACAGCACTGCCCTGCTCCCAGCTGTTGCCAGGGGCCCCAGGGCAGGCAGATCAACTGTGTTCCCATGGCAGCACCTCCACCTGGAGGGCTGGGCAGGGAACACCACAATGTCAACTTGGAACAAGCTTTTATTTGGAATGCTGGTCTGATCAGTCCATAGCCATGGGTAGGTGGTAACTAGAAACAGCTGGAAGGAGGGGAGGACAGGGGACCAGCAGTCTGCAAGCAGGAGGAAAGGGTTGGGGACAGGAGGAGGCAAGGCTGAGGAAGGACCCAGCCAGCTGGGTGTCTGCCGCAGCTAGAGAAGGAACCACCCCCACCCACCAACGTACCCTACACCTGTGGCTCCAGTGCAGAAATCAGTCCAGGGAGGTTCAGGCCCATGCCACCATCTCTGGCCTGCACAACCCCACACCAAGCAGGTGTTCTTCCAGAGGGCTACTTGCCCTCCCCACACTCCAGTTGGGACTTTCAAACGTGGAGCTTAGGCCTTCACTACTGTGCTCCTGTAGCAGCCATAGGGGTGACATGGTAGCAAAGAAGGGGTTCTAGTCTCAGCCTAGCTCAGGGAAACATCTCTCCACCCCTCCAACAGGAGGCGCTGGAAAACAGGATCCTGAGCAGACCCAGACCCTGCCATCTGATAACCAGTGCCTGAGGCCCAACAAGAAGTGGGGTGAGGGGAGGCTCCAGGCCTGGCAGATCAGGAAAAGCTGAGGGCAGCCAGGGCCAACCCAGGCAAGTGTAGGATTGTCTCCAAGGGGAAACCCACCAGCTATCTTTGTGTCGGTGGCAAGGGTCAGGGTCAGAGTCTGGGGTGGGGAAGAGTCCTACAATCTTATCGCCACTCCCCTCCACACGTCTACAGGTTACAACCAGAGAACTTTTGGCATGACCTGTTTGGAGGTTTAAAAGGAAAAAGGAGGAGACAGAGAAAAGGGGAAGCCACTACCTTCTGTTAAAATGCCCAAGTCCTAGACTGGGGGTTCCTGCTCCGGCAGCAGCAGACACCAGAAGCCCCCAGCCCAGTCTGCTCCACAAAGGGGCCCCTGAATGCCCAGAGCAGCAGCAAGATAGGGAGGGCGGGTCCTTCTGCTCCCAACATCCCCTGACGGCCCTGAGGATTCTCTAAGAGACATACAGGTGGGCAGCCATGGAGAAGAAAGGAGAGGCTGAAAGGACCCTGGGGGTGGCACTCCACCACACACACACACAGAGAGAGAGACAGAGAGAACAGAGAGAGACAGAGACATATAATAAACAGAATAAAAACTAAGGGCCCAGATGTACAAAAAATGTGCGAGGAAGAAGGTGGGGAGGAGAGTGGGAGATGGTCAGTCCTCCAGAAGTCTGGCTGCCTTCCTCAGCTTATAAATTACAAACCCCCTGGAAAATGGGGGTGGGGGCAATGCAGAGACTCTGGCTGTGGCCTGGGTGGCGGTCATAGCTGCTCTGCCCATCTGGTGGAGCGGTGGCCAGAGTGTGAAGACCCCCTTGGGTGATGGGGGTGGGCCAAGGGAAGGTTCAGCAGCCGCTGGCAGGAGTCACACAGGCCCCCTGGGACTTCACCTTGTGGCGCTGGCCCCCTCGTCGCCGGCCTCCACTGCTGGGTTTTGGCTGAAAGAAAGAAAGGAGCTTGAGAAGCACTGGCCTATCAAGAGCAGGGCCAGAGAGCAGAGGGGCTGGTGAGCGGGGAGAGGGGGATAGAAGATGCATGAGCAGGCAGTGTGGTCCTCACCCCAGCCTGACCAGGGATTTACTGGGTCACTCTGCATGCAGCATTTCCCCTCTGTTTCTAAAATTGAGCCAGTGGCTGCCCTGCCTTCCTTAAAGGGCTGGTGGGACACATGTGATAAGACTGTGAGAGGCGGCCATTCAGAGAAGCACAAAGCAGAGCAGGAGAGAGAGGAAGCGAATTAACCAGAGGAAAACCCAATGGGAGACAGACAGCAGAATGGACAGACCCAGGATAGCCTCCTTTTCCAAAGGAGACAGATGGAGAAAAATGCTGGGGAGGGTGCAAGGGGGCACCAGGCCTTCATCACTCCAGTAGAGAATGCCTGCGGGAAAGAGCTGGCAGGAGAGGCCGAGTAAGAGCCGCACCGGCACATCCCAAGGCCACCTCCCCTTCAGGATGTGTGCACATCAGAGAGGGGACAGAGGAGGACCCTGTAAGGCAGTGTCTCTCAAACCTGTTGGACTGCAGGGCATACATATATCACTTGGACACTCACACAAGCAATACTTGCAATACTTACTATGAAAGGGAAGCTTCGACATTGTTCTGTTCTATTTTATTTCATTAAAACTAAATGCTAGTTAGGGCCAATTAAGTTGGTTCCAGAGGGCTATATTCCCTGGTTTGGAAAGCACTATCTTATAGCTTTACAGACAAATGTCTCACACTTAGGGGCACTTAAGTGACAAAGCTGTTGAGGAGACCCTCCAGCCAGGCTTGAGGCTTGCCTACCTGTCACCCTTACCAAATCAGAGTAAAAGCCACAGCCCACACCACTGTGCCAAAACCTCGAGGGGCCCGCGCTCACCTGAGGCTGGAGATTGCTGGACGAAGCTGGTTGCCCAGCCCCTAGAGAGGAGGCTTCATCTCCAGGTGGGGGTGCTCCTACTGCTGGCCCGCCAGATGGGCCCCCCTCATCTCGTTTCATCAGGGGGCCCTTTTTCGTCGACTGCATTTTAATCTGCTGGGGCTTGGAGTTCATCGGGGAATTGTTGGTGGTCTGGAGGAGCTGTGGGAGCCATGGAGGAGGACGAGGCTAGAGCTGCAGAGCAGTGCCATTGGCTTGGCTACCCCTCACCCCCAACCCCCTTCTCCCAGGGACTCTCATTCCTTGCCCTTGCCACTTCAGGACAAGGCGGAGGGCAGGAAGGCCATGACATGCCATGAAGAGACATTCTCATCCCCACTCAGCAGCCCAGGATTGCTATGGCCCTGGGCTGACGCCTCACTTCCTGCCTCTGCCCTGCCCAGAAAGGCTCCTATTATCAGCTACAGGTGTTGTTCCTGCAGAGAAATCTGTAAACTTCACTCGCACCTCCCGCTCAGTCCAGCCCCTCAAGTCCAGAGCCTGCCCAGAGCCTGGCAAGTGAAGCTCTGAGCTCTCATCATTGCTAAGCTGGTGGAGACTCCTCAGAGCATGAGCTGCAGCTCCAGCCCCAGGACCCTGCTGCTGCCCCCGTGACAAGAGTCTAGGGCAAGTGTTAAGTCCAGACCTCCCAGAGACCAAGTGAATGTCTTATCAGCTGGAAACATTTGGAGTTTGACTATTCAGAAATCTTAAAAGCTGCCAGCCAGAAGTAACTGCCTTGAAATCTTCCCTTGTGGCACAACTTCTATCTCATACAAAGCAAGAAAGAAGCCCAGCAAGTCCCAGAGTACATTACAGTGTTTGCTGCAGCCTTAGCCAAACTCAGCCAGTCCCAGGGGCATGCAGGCCTTCAGGGACATCTGTACCCCCAGGTCAACCATCGATGGGGGCCTTTTCTGGAGGCAAGGCCAGCCAAAGACTGATTCCAAGATCTCAGACAGGCTGGGGCCAGTACCTCCTTTGTATGGAGCAGGGGTCAAACCCCTCTATCAAATGCCTCTCCCCAAGACCAAGAGCAAGGTCTGCAGAGGGCAAAAGGTAGGTCCTGGGACACACAAACAGCTTAAGCCCCAAGAGAACAGGTCCATAACCCCCTGCCTCATCCAGCACTCACTCCAACCAGACCTCTGCTCTGAGAGGAGACCTCAGACATGGCCCCAGTGAGGCCAGAGGAACCCATGCCAGCACCATGGAGGCTGAGCCTGGCAGGGCCCAGACATTCTGTCACCATTTTCTATGGAGGAAGGCCATACCCCAACCCTACTTCTCCTCTCCATGGTCACCACCACTGCCCAGGACAGGAGGCCACGGGATACCTCTAAAGGAGTAGAGAGATGACACCGAGGCCACACCTCAGTGGGTCCAAATCTCCCAGGGTAGTGACTAACCTCTGCCCTGTGCTCAGGGTCACAGAACAGCAGTGGCCCCTGGTGCTTCCTGGAGGCAAGGCAAGGTTTGCCCTGGCCATACCTTGGTGATGGTGCCGACGGCCTTGGTGCGGCCTTCCCGGAACACCAGACGCTGGTCTATGTGCAGGTACTCAGGGGTCTTTATGAAGCGGAAGTGTACAGTGGCCTTGTCCCCAGTACGCAGACAGTCCTTGTCCATGCTCAGAATGGTGGCTGTCTGCCTGATGCTCCCACAGTGCACTGTCAAGGGAGCCAGAGGTCAGAACAGGCTGGAGCCACCTGGTGGCTTCCAGACAAGGGGAGGCAGTGAGTGAAAGCATGAAATATGCTTGAGCTGTGGAAGGGTGGAGGCTTATCTCTGGGGCTACAGACCCCTGTGAAGCCTGCTCTTGGCTCTGATCCTGCTTTACCATCTCCTACCTTTTCCTCCAGCTAATGCCCACCTGTCATCCCCACCCCCAGGCCCTGTGCAGACAAGGGTCCTAGTTCCTGGGATTACAGCATACTCCGCACATGTGCCTCCTCGCTGGACTGCAGGTTTCTGTGGGGAAGGGTCCTTGTCCATCTACCTCATCTTTGTTCCTAGCATCTTAGCAACACCGCTGGGCACACAGCAGTGTTCAGCAGACACTAGCAGAAGGAATGCATGTGAGGTCCTTGAGGAAAGGTCTGGGTCTCCGAGCCCAGCCCTCGCTGTTTGTGGGAGTGAATCAACAGTGTGGCTCATGGGTAGAACAGAAGGAACAGTATCACTAAATAGGAAGGAGACCCACCACACAGCTGCAGCTGGAACTGGGGGGCTTGGGTTGCTGGAGCACCTTCTGACGGGAGCTAGCACCAGGGCCTCCTGGGCTGGCAGGGCCTTAGACACCTACCCATGGCCTGGTAGCGCGGGCTAATTGTGGTGGGGTGGTGGAGGACGAGAATCTCGGCCTCAAACTCCCAGGAGGCTTGGGGATTCAAACGTGGGGAAACCATCACCATGCCCTTCCGGATGGACGAGCGCTTGATCTGAAAGAAAGAGGGAACCCCAGCCCTCAGGGACAATGATGCCTTCTGGTTTCACCCCTGGTCTCAGGGACCAAGAGTCTTTCTAGGGGTAGGGACCACCCCATCTCAGCCTGGTTTCCTCACCACTGGACCACAGGCCTTCTAGGGTGTACAGCATAAGCAGCCTGAGTGCTCCATGGGAAGACTCAACACTATTACTCGGAGCCAGGAAGGCTTCATGCGGGAATCAGCATTTCAGCTGCTGGGCCATGAAGGATGAATGAAGAGGCAAAGGCAGGCAAGCATTCAGGGGGAAGGAACAGGTGAGCATGACCTGACCAACAGCTCTACATAGAAGGATCCTTGCACAGCAGGGATACTCCCATCTGACCTTAAGACTGAGCTCAGGGCACCCTGCTCAGGCACCAGAGGGAGAAACAGAGCTTAGGAGGCAGGCAGTCCTCACTCTAGCACTTCCAAGCTGTGTGTCTTGGGCAAGTCCCTGGGCTCTGAGCCTCAGTTTTTTTCATCTATAAAAATGAGGCCAGTAACCTCTTGACCTTGCAGAGCAGCCAGGAGGACAGGAGTGGGTGAGTGTGGCATCTGGCCCAGAGCCTAGCATAATGGAGTCTGAGGGGAGTTTTCAGTATCATCGATACTCACCTTCTTCAGAGCAAAGGATGCTGTCTGGCCACCCCGCACCTCCTTGACAGGCATGCGCTTGCGATGGATGGATTTGACAGCAATGGACAGGAAGTTACCCAAGGGGTCTGGGCCCAGCAGCAGCGTGTCATTCAGCTTGATCAGACCTCTCAGTGTTGTCCCCGACACTACTGTCCCCACACCCTGCCAAGGAGAAGACCCTGACCTCATAAGTCCATCCCGAGCACAGACCCACCCCCTGATGCACTGTAGGATGTGTCCACCCAGCCACCTGCCCAGAGCCACTCACCGGGACAGAGTAAGTGTCATCGATCTGAAACTCAGCAGGCTCCTCCTCCCTGTAGCTGGTGCGGGGGGAGAGGAGGTTGAGGAACATCTTCAGCAGATCTAGGTTCTCGCCTGTAACATTGGAGATCTGGAATATCGGGCACATCCTAAGCAGAGGGAGAAGAGGAAGGAAGAAAGTAGAGAGGAGCTCAGGAGGCCAGCTCCTCCCCTGATACAGGGCGGGGACAGCAAGAGGGCTCCAGGAACAGATGCCGTTATTCGTGACCCTACCTCTCCCTCACCTGCCTCCGAGGGCTTGACCTCTCTGCCCTGATGTAGCAAACTCCTGGCCAACGCTGCTATGAGGCCTTCTTCTCTCTCAGTTCTGTCTCTGACACCTGTCCTCTCCTCCCTGTCCTCCACCACTGCCCTAGTTTGGAACCTCATGACTGCTGCTTCCTCAAGCACACTCATGCTTGCTTAAAACCCTTAAGTGCCTGTCCACTGCAGGGAAGACACCTGAATCCCTCTCCCAACAAACAGCCTTTTGCTTCCGCTTACAGGCATCTCTGCAGATTCACTTCTTGCAAATTCCTACATTCTAGCCACACTAGAGAACTTTCCCTTCTCCTAAAACCTTGGTACTTTTCTGCCCTTGTGGATTTGCTCACACTGACCTTCCTTCCTAAATTCTTTCCCTTCTACCGAAATACCAAGCCCTCTCACCCTTCTGAGCTCATCTCAAATACCATTTCTTCCATAAATCCCTTCCTGGATGGACACTCTCAACTCCTCTGAGTTCCTGGAGAGCTTTTGTTCTGTTACACGTGACTGCATCTGGTTTTTCATCAGAGTCCTGTAAACAGTCTCTATCGCTCCTATTTAGGGTGAATGAATTAAAATCCTTGAGATTAGGAGTTAGACATTCCCCACAGCTCCTAGAAGAGTGCACAGAATAGGTACTCAACAATATGAACAAGCTCAAATGGGGCTGTCTGAAACATGCTCCCTCTTCTGGCCAACTGATGGTACTGATGATCACATCAGAGCAGAGGCACAGGCAAACCCAAAGCCAGGCTGCTCTGGGCCCAGCACTATAGACCAAGCTCTGGGCGAAGAGGCAGAGTTCATAGAGTTCACCATTATCAAGAGAATATCTCTAATCAAGGAAGTGAACACCGTGAGGACAAGGGGTGTGTTCAATTCAACTCTGAATCGTCAACATCTAGATGAAGAGACAGGCAGAACAAACATCCGATAAATGTTTATGGAATAAAAGAATACATTAATGAGTAAATGCCAAACCTGATCTAAGATTAGTGAGCTTTTGAGGAACAACAGTATAAAAACCTGAGTTACAAAAATGGCTGTGTATCTGCCATCCATCAGCCAGGCACAGCGCTAAGTGCTCTGCATACTTCATTTCCAACATTCATGGGAGCCCTACAGGGAAGGGAATGTTCTTCCCAATTCACAGATAAGGACACTAAAGTCTCAGCCAGGAACGCCAGCACCTCACAATCTGGGTTACATGATATTGCCCCTGGGCAACAATGCATGGGAGACCCTGTGCTAAGATTAGAACCTTCTATTTCCTCCAATCTCTGAATAGGAAGAGGTGTTCTGATGTGCTGTTTTCATGAGACCTCATGCCCAACCTGACAGCCATTCCAGGCCCATCACTCACTATGGTCCTGCCTGCAGGGGTGCCTGCCTGGTGTGCGCTCCCCACTCATTACCTTTCGGAGCTGAAGTTGGAGGCTGTGACAATCACATCATCCTTGCTCTGCACCAGCACAGGGATCTTCCGGCAGCCTGGTGACTTCAGCAGGCGCTGTAACAGCTTCAGGGTTTCTTAAAAGGTGAAATGGAAGAGAATTAGGGGGACACAGCCTTCTCTTTGGCCAGGCTTCCAAGGCAAGATGGGTCCACTCATTACTGATGCAAGCAGAAGACAGACAGACGGACCAGTGTTAAATGCCACAATGCCTGGAGAAGCAAAAAGGAGGATCAAAACTTTGGGTGTGCTAGAGTAAGAAAACCACAGATGGGGCCTTCTTTTCTAGGGTTCTGCATCTGAAACCTAGCAGATTTCTCTTATGTCTAGATGACCTGCCTCCTGTAGGCATGTGACCTGAGGGTCCCCAAGAAAAACAATGCAGTTAACACTTCAGTTCTCAGAATGCACTACTTTCTGGAAAAAAGTCTCATCTAACAAAAAGGATCTCTTAGACATTTAGGAGTCTACAGAGACCCTTATTTTGAGGCCTCCCAAAGGGATACTTTTCTACAATCTTTAGCAGTGAGGGAGAAAGGCACAAAGGCCTAGTCCTGCAACCCTGTGTCAAAGCTCTGGTGGTAACAGGTCATTAGGCCCTCTGACCAAACTTCCCCATATATATCCAGCTTAGCTGGTAGAGCCCAACTCCTTCTGCCTGGCATCACCTGAAAAGAGGTGCCAGATTCAGGATCTCAGGAACTCCGCACTTGGAATCAGAAGGAACAAAGAAGAGGATAATTCTAGGCTGTGCTCAGACCAAGAACTAAATAGGGGAAGAAGTAGCAAAAGATTCTGGGCTGATGGAAATTCAGGCCAAGATCTAAATACAAGACAAAGAAAAGCCATTTTACCCGGGGCGCCCCTGTGTATTGAAGATAGCAGCTGCTGTGGGAAAGTTGCTGAGCCTCAGTTGCCCGACCTGTGAGTGCCATTCCTTGGGGCATTTCTGCCATGGCAGCCCTCAGGCCTGCTGCTTCTGGGAGAACAAGCTTGACAATTACAGTCTGGTTCTGGTCAAGCAAAATTTGTTAGCACCAGGTCCTCATGTCATGCACCTGCTGTCACCCAGCATGTGCCCTATTTCAAGTGTACAGCCACTGTCAATGGAGAGTTCAAAGACCTAAGCCTTGATGATTTTAAGGGGAAATATTTGGTGCTTTTCTTCTATCCTTTGGATTTCACTTTTGTGTGTCCTACAGAAATTTTTTTTTTTTGAGATGGAATCTTGCTCTGTTGCCAGGCTGGAGTGCAGTAGCCTGATCTCAACTCACTGCAACCTCTGCCTCCTGGTTTCAAGCAATTCTCCTGCCTCAGCCTCCCAAGTAGCTGGAACTACAGGTATGGGCCACCATGTCCAGCTCAGAAATTGTTGCTTTCAGTGACAAAACTAAGGAATTTCATGATGTGAACTGTAAAGTTATTGCCATCTCAGTGGATTCCCACTTTAGCCATCTTGCCTGGATATATACACCAAGAAAGAATGGTGGTTTGGGTCACATGAACATTGCACTCTTGTCAGATTTAACTAAGCAAGTTTCCCGAGCCTACAGTGTGCTGTTAGAAGGTCTTGGTCTTGCACTAAGAGGTCTCCTCATAAATGACCCCAATGGAGTCATCAGGCACTTGAGTGTCAATGTGTCTCAGTGGGCTGAAGCGTGGAAGAAACCCTCTGCTGGGTGAAGGCATTCCAGTATGTAGAAACCCATGGAGAAATCTGCCCCGCAAACTGGACATGGGATTCTCCTACAATCAAGCCAAATCCAGCTGCTTCCAAAGAAGGTAAATCAGTAGATCACCCATGTGTATCTGCACCTTCTCACCCCAGAGAAGAACCACAGTAGAAACCTGCTTTTATCATTTTAAAGATGATAATTTATAGAAGGCAAGGAACCAATTATGCCTGTATTCATAACTATTATTCTAAATGTTTCGTTTCTGTAATATTGGCTAAGGCCTTTTAAACATGGTTAGTTGCTAGTATAAGGAATCCCTTATTGGTAACATCTTGGTGCCTGGCTAGCTAGCTAGTTTCTACAGAATATAACTGCCTCTGTAGAAGGCAATTCTTAGATCATGTCTTCAATGGAAACACTCTCCTGTCTTAGCCTTACTTACGTCTACAACAAAGTAGAGAACACACACTGAAAGCTTCTGATCAAGGGTCCTGAAATGTTCATCTTGAATGTCTTTGCATTAAACTGAATTTTCTTTTAAGCTAACAAAGATCACAGTTTTCAGCTGTTATCAGCAGTCTAATTTAACTCCTGCAATAAATGTTTATGTGACTGAAGCAAATGTGAATATTATTTTAGAAAGTGGCAGAGTGACTGAACTGATCATGCATGATCCCTCATCCCTGATATTTATAGTATATGTAGTCATTTTTCTTATTTTATTCATTAGCTAACTTTGTCTATATATATTTCTAGATATTGATTAATGTAATAGGTTATAAAGGATATTTATTGGATCCAGGGATTGCATTTTGAAATTATTGTAATTATTTTCTTTGCTGAAGTGTTCAATGTCAAACGTATGATAAAAATAGACGTATTGTAAAATTAAAGAGAAATAATAAAAATTGTTTTAAAAGGAAAGAAGTTTAGTAGGGACCTCTGCCTCCCAATCGGAGGAGCTGCTGCTAGCTGGAGGCCTCACTTACCTTGCAAGATGTTGGCAGGACACATGTCAATCTTGGTGACTACCACAAAGACAGGTACATTGAGAGCCAGTGCCAAGCCTAGGTGTTCTTTGGTCATCCCCACGATGCCAGCATTGCTGCCCACCTGCCCCAACACAGAAAGAAACTGTCAGGATGAGAGAGAAAGAGATTGCTGCTGGGTGGACACAAGGGCTCAAAGACAGATGTGGATGCAAGCTGGGGTGGTCAAAAATCACTTTAACCCCTGACTCAATGATGTGGGCTGTCAAAATCAGAGGAGAATAGCAAAAAATAAAAAAGATAAACCGAGTCAAGGAAAACAACTGTCTTGAGCCATCAAAGTGAATCCAGGACAGGAGTGGTGGCTCCTGCCTGTAATCCCAGCACTTTGGGAGGCCAAGGCAGGCGGATCACTTGAGGCCAAGAGTTTGAGACCATGCTGGGCCACCTGGTAAGACCCTGTCTCTATGAAAAAACACAAAAATTAGCTGGGTGTGGTAGCATGCAATGTAGTCACAGCTACTTGGGAGGCTGAGGTGGGAGGATCACTTGAGCCTGGGAGGCTGAGGCTGCAGTGAGCCATGATCGAGATACTGTACTCCAGCCTGAGAGACAGAGTGAGACGCTGTCTCAAAGAACAGCAACAATAACAACAAAAAGTGGATTCAACTTAACATCCCTTGCCCTCAGTTTCCCCATCTGTAAAATGAGGAGATAACAATATCCGCTTTGTTAGATAGCAATATCTAACAAAATCAGAGGGTCACCTGATTTTTAAATGTCATAACACATATGAAGGGTCCAGCACACAACCATCATGAACTAGGTGTTTAAGCAATTGCCCTTGTTATTACTGTTACTATCTTTCCAGTAACAATAAATGTTTCCAAATATCACCATAAAGACTGGTTACATAAATCAGGGCCCACGTACAAAATGTGCTGTACAAAAGAAAGAAGAAATTCTTATCTACTGATATGGACTAATCTCTAAGATATGTTTTTAAGGAGGGGTAAAAAAAGCAAGGTATATATAGAATGCTATCATAAAAAGAGGTGAGCGGTTAGCTGGGCATGGTGGCTCACACCTGTAATTCCAGCACTTTGGGAGGCCAAGGCGGGTGGATCACCTGAGGTCAGGAGTTCAAGACCAGCTTGGCCAACATGGTTAAACCCATTCTCTACTAAAAATACAAAAAAAAAAATTAGCTGTGGAAAATAAAAGGTGGGGGGGATAAGTGGTAATTAATTAATGCCTTAAAAAAAAGCAGCTGAAAGATATGCAGGAAACATCTGAAATAACATAAATGCAGAATAGATATTGGAGGATATTAGGTAACTATTAATCATTTTCTTGATTGTAAAAACAGTAAGATACCAGCCTAACTTTTATGCTGAGGTGTTTGAGGGTGAAAGGTCACAATGTTTATATTGTGACTTTGTCTGGGGTGAAGACATTTCCACTATTTTCAAGTGATTCAGCAAAAAAAAAAAAAGCCCCAAACTAAACATATATACATGGCTGGGCACGGTGGCTCATACCTGTAATCCCAGCACCTTGTGAGGTGCCAAGGTAGGAGGATTACTTCAAGCCAAGAGTTTTGAGACCAGCCTGGGGAACATAGCAAGATCTCATCTCTAAAAAAAAAAAATAGTATTAGCCAGGCATGGCTGTGCATACCTGTAGTCCTAGGTACTAGGGAGGCTGAGATGGGAGGATCCCTTGAGCTGAGGAGTTTGAGGTTACAGTGAACTATAATCCCACCACTGTACTGTAGCCTGGGTCACAGAGTGAGGCTCTGTCTCTTTAAAAAAAATTAAATAGGTTTTCATAATCACCTTCTTTGAGAAAAAACAAAAATTAAATAGGGCTGGACGCAGTGGCTCACGCCTATAATCCCAGCACTCTGGGAGGCCAAAGTGAGCAGATTGCTAGAGGTCAGGAGTTTGAGACCAGTCTGGCCAACATGGTGAAAATTAAAAATACTAAAAATTAGCTGGGTGTGGTGGCACACCTGTAATCCAGCTACTCAGGTGGCTAAGGCAGGAGAATCCCTTGAACCTGAGAGGCGGAAGCTGAAGTGAGCCAAGATCACACAACTGCACTCTGGCCTGGGCAACAGAGCAAGACTCCATCTCAAAAAAAATTAATAAAAAACACATATATACATATGTACCCATCATATATACATATAAATATTGCAAATTTTGGGGTGTTTTTTTTTGAGACGAAGTCTCACTCTGTCACCCAGGCTGGAGTGCGCAGTGGCGTGATCTCAGCTCACGGCAACCTCTGCCTCCCAGGTTCGAGCAATTCTTTGCCTCAGCCTCCTGAGCAGCTGGGATTACAGGTGCCCACCACCACACTCAACTAATTTTTTTGTACTTTTAGTACAGACAGGGTTTCACCATTTTGGCCATGCTGGTCTTGAACTCCTGACCTAGTGATCCACCCAACTCAGTCTCCCAAAGTGCTGGGATTACAGGCGTGAGCCACTGTGTCTGGTGACAAAATGTTAAAGATTGCTGAATCTAAGTGGCGAGTTTATAATATTCATTATACTATTCTTTTACCTTTTCTGAATGTTTAAAATTGGAGGGAGAAAATATACACACATTTGCTGGTCTGAGTACAAAATATCTCTGGCAGGTACACAAGAAACTAGAAATACTGGTTGCCTCTGGGAGGAAACTGGACAGAGGCAGAAGGGAGACTTTTCACTATTTTGTACCATACTAAACCTGAAGAAAATTAAAAAGAAAAACTGCTGTGATGTGTTTACACAGTGCTCTATCCACTCCAGTGTGTCCTGGAGATGCCCACTGGGTCGCCACAGCTCCCAGGTGAGTCACCCTGGCTGGTACTTCCCTCTCCCTCCACCAGGACACCTCCACAGTCTTCCCCCTAAGGCTTTCCATGCCCTTCAGCCACCTTTCCAATCCAATGCAGACTCACTTTTGCTCTTCCCAACCTGGAGAAGAGAGTGCACTATGGCTCTGTTTCTGTATATCTTAAATATTTTTTCCTAGAAATTGAATGCCATGGAACTATAATAAAATACTTCATTGTTTTCTACAGAAATGTTAATATTTGGATCACAAGTCAGATAATACATATGTAATATTTTGTCTGGGGTGAAGACATTTTCATTAATTGGTCTTACTCACTGTAGCTCAGCTGGAAAAATGCTTATTCCCAACCAGTTTCTATACCCTTCTTAATATTAACCCAGCAACTCCCCCAAATATGCCCTCTGGATCGTCCACTGAGTTCTCTTCCTGGTGAGCAGCTTTCCTCAGCCCAGTCAAGAAGCTGGTCATGGCCATTTGCAACATTCAAGGAGATGGGAAATGAAGGCATGGTGAGGTCCCAAGAGCCTTAGGCAGAGAGCCTATAAGTGTTCACATGGTATGCTCTGCCTCCCTTTACTGCTCCAGTTTGGGGAGAATTTGCTTGAGAACCTGTGTTTGTGGAGCAACTTGATCAAGTCTGCTATGAACAGATGCTCATGTTTACTACATTTATTAATACAGGCAGCTGAAGGAATCGAGAAATGGGGAAAGTTTTGGGAAGGGCTTGCCAAGGGAACACTCGAGGCACGTGTGTCTCTGACTCTCTCCCTTCCTGCCCTCCCTCTTCCTTCCTCCTGCTGTGAAAGCTGCGGAGATGTGCACAGTTACAGGCCTTGCGGCTCCCCTCAGCACTCCCATGTCTGTCCAGGGAGGAAGATCAATGGGTCACAAAGGCAAGTTTAGCAATGGGATCCAACACAGAGCCCTCTGCTCTCTTTTTTTCTCAGTTAATCTATTAGATGAGATGCTGGAAAAATGTTTTGTTTGTTTTTAATGTTCCTAGCAGGAATAGCTGCTTAAAAGTTTAACCACACTTGATCCTAAGCTTTCTGGGAGCCTCTGGACAGCCTTGTTCATTGCTGTATCATCAGACCTCACATGGTACCTGACACAAAGGATCCTCTCAAGGGCTGTGCACTGGCTGATCTGCCTCCCACGGTCTAGGAGAGGCCACCTCTCAGGGCCTCTTGACTGTGGCCTGTACCTCCTTATGGCTCTCTTCCCCATTTCTTCCCCAGGTCCGCCCCCATCTGAAGGTACTACCTACCTAGTGTCACCTCCTCAAAGTAGCCCAATCCTCTGCAAAAAACATTTCTGAAGGTAGCAAGCCCCAGAAGAAACCCTTCTCCATGCCTCTGCAAAAAATAAGACAGGTCTTCAAGGGTACCTGGTTTTTACCAAAAAGATCCCTTCCCTAGTCTCACGTAAGGGAGAGATCAAGGTTCACACCTTGAGACAGACCATTACTCAGAGGACTGGGCACCCCCGCAAAACTTGCCAGCCTCACCCAGTATCAAAGCCCCAAACCAACAGGCCTCAGTCTCAGAACAGTTTCAGACTTGCACATAACCAGACCCATGCAGTCCTGCTGAAGCCTCCCCTCCAAGGGGCGCCTCCCACTCACCATGAGCATGCAGAAGTCAGGCAGATGGCCTGTCATGCCGAAGACAGTGGTTTTCAGGTACTTCTCATGACCAGCCAAGTCGATGAAGGTAATGACCTTAGTGGACTTCTCACAAATCTTAGTCCACTCCAGGCTGCCACCGTGGCTGTCAGGCTTGTTCACTACATTGCCTTCGCTGTCAAAGCCCAGAATGTCGTTGCCCACACTGCTGGTGCGACCAGATTCAATTTCATGTTTGTGGCGGAAGAGTTTCTGGCGGGCAAAGCCTCGGCCATTGTCCAGCTCCCCATGTGTCAGGACCCCCAGGAGGGTGCTTTTGCCGGCATCCACATTGCCCACCACTGCTACCCTGTGTGTACATGAACCCATACATCTGTGTGAGAGTTAGTGCGTGAATGAAGCAGAGCAGCCACTCACAACCCCAGTAACTGGATCTGCAAGCCTGGGCTTGCCCCTGAGCCCCTCCGGCTCACAGCTCCTCCTCAAGCAGGAGCAGCACAGTGGGAAGGTTCCTGGAGCTGCTGCTGTGAGTCATGAGAAGGGCCCGGACTCCCAAAGTGGCTATCTCCCTTAACTCCCACTAGCTGCCAGGTGCTGCTAGGAAGAGCCACAAGGCTACCAGAGGCACAAAAGCCTCTTCTCTATGACCCTGGTTTCCAGGCTCACAGGCTGAAGCGAAAACAAACACACCCACAGAGAATGGCCACAGAATGCACAGCTGGCCTCTCTTCATGCTCTTCCCAAAAGGAATTCTCTAGAGACAGGGAAGTAAAGAATTAGAGAAAGGAGCCACCACCTCCCCAGACACCCAGACACTCTTTCCACACCTCAAGAGGGGAAAGGATGGAGCAGACATGCTGAGTGCCACAGGCTTAGTCACCACCCTCCGTGAAGAGTGGACCCCACACCGTCCTGAGGCCTCCTCACCTGACCTCCAGGAAGTCATTGTCTCCGACTCGTTTCCGGACCAGGTAATCACGCACGCGGCCCCCAGCTTCTTGCCGTTCCCGCAGGAGGATGACATCGGCCTCTATCTGTTCCGCCATGCTCTTCACTGTGGCGTAGGAGGCTTCCATGTCAGCTTCACTCAGCCCGTACTCTGTCCCATCTGGTGACAAGAGCCCAGACATCAGCAGGAGAGGGAGTCCTGACCAACCAGCCTGCCAGAAACCCCACCGAACAAAGGCTACTACCTCCTGACCCCAGCACTGCAGAGGAACAGGGGTGCTCTCCACCTGAGTGAAAACCTGGGAACACATCAAGTTAAAACTTGACAGTGCCACAGACCTCATCGAGCAGAGCATTTGCTAATTCATTCAATAACAGTCACTGAGGCTCTCCCAGGTTTTATGCCAACCCTCATGCTGGGTACAAGGACTACAGGTGCCCCTAGCAAGCTCACAGCCCAGCAGGGGAGATATAGAGGAGATTAATTAATTGCAATACAGTTCGAGTGCTGCACTCTAGGACTCTGCGAAGAGATTGGAAAGCACCGCCTGGGGAAGCTGAGGGCAGTTCTGCAGAGGGCTGATGCCAAGCTAGGTCAACAAGTGCTGGGCCTGCAGAAGAACAAGGAAGGACATCCTGGCCAGAGAAACAAAAGCATAGCGTAGCAGATCATGGCACGTTCAGGGACCAAGAAGCAGCTCAGCATGTTGGGGAGCAGAATGGGTGACATGGAGTGGCAGGAGACCACATGAGAGGTGGAAGTGGCACAACAGATGGACAGCAGCTACACGCCTTCTGCACCAGGCAGTAAGATGCCCAGGGGCTGAGGCAGGGGAGTAACATGACCAGATGGCTGTGGATTAGAAGGATCTCCTGGGTAGCGGTACTGAGTGTCCACCAGCAAGGGGAAGTCCAGTTAGGAAGTCATTCTAATAATGCAGGCAAGAAATAATGACAACAGAAAGATGGAGAAAATGGGGAAGGAATTCAGAAACATTTTAGAAATAAGATTTTTAACCGAGGCAGCTCAGCTGACGTGTCCAGCAAGCAGCTGGAGAAACAAGTTTGAGCTCAGGACAAGGAAGGGAACCAGACAGAGGCAGGACCAACCGACCAGTTATTGAGCTCCTACTATATGACAACCCATCAGCTGCTTTCCATGAGGTGTCGGATTTAATTTCCACAATCACTCCCTCAGCCTTTCCCAGCTATCCTGTCTCCCAGAGTGCCCCTGCTCCTTCCCTTGGCTGGCTAACCTCTTCAGTAAGTGTGACTCTCTTCCCCCGAAAGGCCTTGCAGCACGAAGTACTCTCCTTGTCTGTTCTCTTCCTCCCACTCCAAACAAACTCCTAAACTAAGGAAAACCACCCCCCTTCCCTTGCCCTTGTTTATCTGCAAAGCTACCATCTCCTGTTTTTCCTTTCACCACCAAACATCTCAAGAGTCATCAACACACGTTGACAGTACTACCCTACCACCTACTCACTCAAAATCTGCCCACTAAGGAAGAAACCACAGTTGTCACATGCCACTAGTGCCCTTTTTTTTTTTTTGAGATGGAGTCTCACTCTATCACCCAGGCTGGAGCGCAGCTACAAACTCTCAGCTCACTGCAACCTCCGCCTCCCAAGTTCTAGCGATTCTCCTGCCTCAGCCTCCCGAGTAGCTGGGATTACAGGTGCCTGCCACCATGCCTGGCTAAGTTTTGTATTTTTAGTAGAGATAGGGTTTCACCATATTGGCCAAACTAGTCTCGAATTCTGGACTTCAAGTGATCCGCCCACCTCAGCCTCCCAAAGTGCCAGGATTACAGGCCTAAGCCTCCGCGGCCTTCTAACCTCTCTATCCAATGCCCTCTTCTTGACTCCTCCAGCTTTCAATACTGCTGGCCACTATGCCTTTCCTTCTTGAAGCACTTCCCTCCTACCCCGATCGCCCATCACCTGACCTTTCTGATATGCCTCCCCACCCCTGTGCACCGCTCCTGTCTCCTGAATGCTAGTCTTTTCCAGTCGTGTGTCAGTGACCCTCTTCTGTTTCCGCCAAACTTTCCCCTTGGCTGTCTTGTCCTATGGCTTCAGCTGTCATTTTGAAAACTATAAAAACACTTATTCCTAACACCATCCTATGCTAGAACTCCAGACTGAAGTTCCAACTGCCTGGATGATAACTCCTAGAAGTCTGATATCCAAGTTCAATTCCTCCCCCAACAACCCTCTTTTAAACAACAGCACAAACACTAACAATGTTAATAAAGCATTTTGGTTCTTGCTGTAATCTTATGAGGTAGGCGTTACTCTTCCCTTTTAATTTAACAGTGGGGTAAAAAGAACCCAAAGAGGTCTCAGAGCTGAGAGGGGCCATGAGTTCAGGTCTTCAGATTCCAAATCTAGAGCCTTTTCCTGCAGCGCAAGGGTTCCTCTTACTGCCTGACCAGTTCCTTCTTTATTTCTGACAATGACAATACCATCTCTCTAGCTACCAGTCTCATCAGTCCAGTCTTGCTGATTCTAGCATTTTACCTTGCCTTCTTCCCCGAGGCCTGTCCTTTTCGCCATTCCCCAGCCACCAGCCTGGTTCAGGCTCTTATTCTACCTGAATCACAATAGACTCTTCACTTTGGTCTTTGCAAATTCAGTCTGTATTCCCTCCAACCATCCCCTTCAGCTCCAATGCTGTCACTTCCAAGTCAAAGCCTCTGAAAGGCTCCCCAGGCCCGGCTGCTTAATAACCTCCCCATTTGTGCCATACTCCCTCCTTACTCTCCCCTTGCAAGCTCTGTCCTGGTGCCAGTGGCCCCATCACACACACAGCACTCCCCTTCCTTCTGCTGGGGTTTTCTGCAGGGTCCTAGCTCTACACCTTTGCTCGTGGATTTCCTATCCTAAAAACCCAACAGTGCACCTCCTCCTGGTAAAATCCTACTCATTCTGCCCACAAACGTTTGTGTCTCCCTTACATTTGCCACGTACTGCCTTGTGCAAGCAACAGTGTTTTGGATACAGGTCCTCTCCTCCCCCAACAATACAAAAGCGTCTTGAAAACAGAGCCCACATCGCAACAATTCCCTGATGCCTCACAAGCAGTGCCTTTCCTATATCAAGTCCTCAAATGTTTGTAAAGTATAAAACAAATGAACAAAGAGGAGTTTCTAAATGCATGGCCAAGCAAGCTGTGAAAGCCTTTCAGGTTAGAGAGGTGCTTGCTGGAAGTGGTCCTGAGAAGGCTGGCTAACCCTTCCATGCTTGCCAGGCTCCCAATTCTATTCACCCTCCCCTGCTTCTGTTCTTTCAGGTCCTGCTCCACACCAAGGGCATCACCAACATCACCTTGTCCATCAGGGCTCTCGTCACATTACCCGTCTCCAGCATGCATCACATTCCTCACTCTGTAGAAGTGGAGACAAAGGTGGAGGAGAAAAGCTGCAGAGGTCCAATTACTAAAGGCCACATACTCAGCCATGCCAGACCCTAATCAGATTTCCATCCTGCTAGCTCATTTACCTTTCCTATATGGATTCTCCTGTTCTACAGGCTGCAAAGGCTTCCTAGACTTTTAGAATAAAAGTCTAACCTCTTTGACATGGCATTCATTCAGAATCTGACTCCTGCCTTCCTCTGTCTAGCCTCTCCTACCACTGAGGACTTCACACTCTCCATTCATCCTACTGGATTACTTCTGGTCCACATATACTCCTGTCTCCAGTGCCTCCACGCCTCATATGTATGGTTTCCTCTGACTATTCACTATTTTCTCCATTTACCTGAAAACTCCTACTCATCCTTTAGAATCAATTAAAGGGGCAGCTGCTCTTCACAGCCCTTCCTGACTCTTCCACAGAGACTTAGTACTCCTCAGCCGGGCACAGTGGCTCACATCTGTAAATCCTAGCACTTTGGGGGGTCAAGGTGTCAGATCACCTGAGGTCAAGAGTTTGAGACCAGCCTGGCCAACATGGAGAAACCCTGTCTCTACTAAAAATACAAAATTTAGCTGGGAGTGCTGGCGGGTACCTATATTCCCAGCTACTCAGGAGGCTGAGGCGGGAGAATCACTTGCACCTGGGAGGCGGAGGTTGCAGTGAGCCAAGATTGCACCACTGCACTCCAGCCTGGACAAGAGAGAAACTCCATTACAAAAAAAAATAAAAATAAAGAATAATTTAAAAACACTTAATACTCCTCCTATGTCCCCCAAACTATAAATTTATTTTTTGTTTTTCTTTTGAGACAGCATCTCACTCGGTCATCATCTCAGCACACTGCAACCTCCACCTCCCGGGTTCAAATGATTCTCGTGCCTTAGCCTCCTGAGTAGCTGGGATCACAGGAGTGGACCACCATGCCCAGCTAATTTTTTGCATTTTTAGTAGAGATGGGGTTTTACTATGTTGGCCAGGCTGGTCTCAAACTCCTGGCCTCAAGTGATTCACCCACCTTGGCCTCTCAAAGTGCTAGGATTATAGGTATGAGCCTTCTTTTTGAAAGAAATCTCATGAAAAATCAACTACAACCTGGGACCCTTAAATAAATTACTACTGCAACTACTAATACTAGCTAACGCTGATCTTACTATTCACCATGATTTCCTTTAATTCTCATTTAATCTTCGCTACCAGACCATGGGTGAGATTCTATTATTATCCCCATTTTAAGACAAGGAAAAGAGTCAGCAGGCAAATCCAGGCCTGCCAGGCTCCAGATTCTATACACTAGGCCAGACTGCCCCTTTTAAAACATTGGTTATAATTTTTATATGTCTCATTTATCTATACAAAATTTCTCTGAGGTAGGATGGGGAAGGTGTCATTATTCCCATTTTACAAAGGAAGGACGTGGTAAATAGAGATGAAGCAGCAAGGAAATCAGTGATGAAACCGACTCCTGGGGCCCTGCATCTGGGTTAGTCTTCTGTTTTATGTTCAACTTGTTTAACTCGTTATAATCTCTATCTGTAAAGAATTCCAGCAGAAGGGAGTCACTATGAATCTAACAGCATCCAGCTGGTGGATTCAAGGTTAATGCTTGGGTGTATAGATGTGTTAATGAATACCTGACATCTTACGCTTTGCCATGGGTGGGTTAATTAATTGTGAGTTGTCAAGGCATAGTAAAATTCAGAGTCCACGTAAAAGGATGAGGGGAAAGGGGAGTCTTAAGAATCTGGGTCTTCAAAGAACAGACTCAACATTTGTCAAAATTGACCTATATGTGGTTCCTGAAATTCTACAATCAGTAAGTGATCTTTGAGGGGTTCATCTTATTACAGCAGACCACATGTGCACCTGACATCAAAGCTTTCAAAACACTACCAATGATCTCCTAGTCAACAAATGGAATGCTTCCTCTGAACCTGGTACTCGTGACACCTCTGCAGCACTTGATAATGCTAATCAACTCTCTCCCTTTCCTTATAGGCAACTTCTTAGTTTGCCTATCTCTCTGGCCATGCCTTCCTTTAGGTGGTGAGACCCACAACTAGGGAGGTAGCAGCAAGGACGGGAAGGAAAGAACAGATATGAAAGACATTTCAAAGGAAGGCACAGCTGCATCTGGAGAGCTAATCCTTCTTCCTTATGTCACTCTTACAACATTTCCAAATACTGTTTTCCACGGAGGTTATTTGGGCATACGCCATATTTCCTCCTTGGGGCAGGGACCTGATTTTAAGTTTCCAAAAGTTCTGCAACAGTGGCAAGCCTTAGAAGATACTTAATACATATGTGTCAAATAGTTTAAGAATGATTTTGAGATTTCTTCACTCTTCAACTCAAACTACAAAGAATTATTACCTGGCTTTACAAAGCCTACATTCAGCAAAGAAAAGGGTTTCTTTAATGATGCACCCAGGCCCACCTGGGCTCCCTGCAAAGATGACAGAGACAAGTGCTGGTATGGGCTGAATTCATAATTGTTAACAACCCCAGCTGTCATTTCAGCAAAGATAATACCATAATGAAGATGAAGGTAAGTAGGTCTCGTGTGGAAGTTGTCAACTAGGAGAAACCAGGGGAAAAAAATCATAATATACTCTGGAATTGTTGTGGGGGCTGCCTTCCTCTAAAATAGTAGGTTCCATTACAAGGAATAGGCAGCTCGGAGAACAATAACCAGTCCCTTTCAGGATGGTTACAAGCCTACATGTCTGACAGGATTGAGAGAGGAGAGAAGACCTCGGTTGTCACAGCTATCCAGACTAAATGGTCAGTATCATCTGGGGCAAGGAGCCTGACTGAAGAGAGGAATTCTGGGCGTCTCTTCTTTGCTGACACCAAGAAGAATCATGGAGGTCCTCTGCTGAGCAGAAAATAAGTAGCAATGGGCTCTGTAAACAGGGCTTGGAAGAGAAGACCTCTGGCTGCCCAGGAATAAGCTTAATTCTAGAACTAACTATGATTACCTTAGACAAGAAATTCCTTTGCTTTGTGCTTCATTTCCCCTTATGCAAATGGAAAGTACTGGAGATAAAATGGAAGCATCTGTAAAACTGCTTGGAAAGTGAATCTTTCAAGTCAAGCATATTAGGACGACTAAGGGGAGAACCAACATTCGCTTTGTACTTTTACGTCCTCCAAACAGTTCTGCAGACACTAAAGAATCACTGCAACTGAGACACATAAGCAGAAAAGTTCAAAAAGAGGGGAAAATGTACTCTAAATAATTTTTTTTTTGAGATGGAGTTTCGCTCTTGTTGCCCAGGCTAGAGTGCAATGGCATGATCTCAGCTCACTGCAACCTCTGCCTCCTGGGTTCAAGTGATTCTCCTGCCTCAGCCTCCCGAATGGCTGGGATTACAGGCGGCCACCACCACGCCCAGCTAATTTTTTGTATTTTTGGTAGAGACGAGGTTTCACCATGTTGACCAGGCTGGTCTCAAACTCCTGACCTCAGGTGATCTGTCTGGGCCTCCCAAAGTGCTGGGATTACAGGTGTGAGCTACCACGCCTGACCTTGAGCCACCACGCCCGGCCCAATAATTTTTTAAAATAAAGCGAAAGGAAAACTATGCTCACCTGATCCCTGCCCAATGACATATATGGTCTCTCCGCATCCCTCGTCCATCCTCTCCCACATCTGCCGAAGTAGGCTGTCATACTGCTCTGATGTAGGGCTCACTAGAACCAGCTAGAAAAGAAACCAACAGCCTTAGGACCACACTTGCTAGAAGAGCACCACAGCCAGAGCTGATCAATATACCCTAACTAAAGATCCTGACTGAACCCCACAGCACCCTAATCTAAAAAAGCTGCACAGCCCCTTCATGCCCTCTCTGCTTCTCCTGAAGTAGTCTTTGAGCCTCAGGCCTCATATAATCCATAAGATATCCTAAAATGTGTATGTCTGAGCCATAACCCATGGTAAGGAGGGCACAAGCAGCCTGCCTCCCAGGAGGGGCAGGACCCAAGTGACTGAGAATCTGGCACTATGGATAGAAAGAACAGTTCTTTCCACTACATGCCAAAGTCTTCTACCTGCAGTTGGCATCTGGAAGCCCACAGGACAGAGATCTCATATGCCTCCATGCCCTCTACCCACAGGCCAGTGGCTCCCAGGATAACAAAAGAATTCTGTTCTATCTTGCCTTAGCTATATTGATTATTTGGGAATGAAAACTGCCTGCAAGACTCATCTTCATCAACAAAATACCATCACCATTACCACTACAATGAGTATTAGCACCATCAATTTGCAAATGTCTGTCAACAGCATTAAAGTATCAACCACTTATTTGGGGAAGCCATTTGGTAATAGGTATGTCAGACCCCATTCTCTAACCACTCCTGTCTGACCTTGGACAAAGAACTTAACCCCTGTGAGTCTCAGTTTTTCAATCTACAAAACAGAGCTAATACTACCTGCATCCTAAGGCCACTGTAAAGAGCAAATGTAATAACATGTAAAAGCATCAAGTCCACAGCTCAGTAAATGTGAAGCTACAAGGTTTTCTTTGCCCAATAATTCCCAGAAAAACCTTGGTGCATGAAGCTAGCCACCACTATTCACTAAGGGTTTCTGCCTTTGGACGCTCTCAGAGTCTTAGGTCTCCACATTTATTATTGTAAAAAAGATTTAGCTTCTAATCTTTTCCTCTAGAATCAGTCTATTCAACTCAACCTCTCTCTCCCTCCGCATCATCACTTTTTCCCTTTGATATCATCAATATTTAGATACAGTTTTTTAATTGTGAGGAGGACCGCCCCAGCTATGTGATGGAATAACATGGCGAGGAATATTTCAGTTTGGTTTGTTTTTTGAGTCTCACTCGGTGAGACTCACCCAGGCTGGAGTGCAGTGGCACGATCTTGGCTCACTGCAACCTCCGCCTCCAGGGATCAAGTGATTCTCCCACCTCAGCCTCCCAAGTAGCTGGGACTACAGGCACGTGCCACGATGCCTGGCTAGTTTTTGTATTTTTAGTAGAGATGAGGGTTTCACGATGTTGGCCAGGCTAGTCTCAAACTCCTGACCTCAGGTGATCCACCCACCTCAGCCTCCCAAAGTGCTGGGGTTACAGGCATGAGCCAGCACACCTGGCCACATCTAGGAATGTTAAATGAGCTGCTCAAGAAATGAAGGAACTACCCTCTTTGCAATTCTGCCCTGCAGTTTCAACTACGTTTCTTCAGCACCTGGACCATGTGTTGACATCCAGTTTGTGTGCTTTTCAGTCAGGTGCATAATCTTGTAACTTCCCAAGTTGACTCATCAGAGCCTGTAATTGAAACCTAGATGCTTCCTGGGTCTTTTACACGGTCCCGGCCATCCCTCTCTCTAAGCTCAGCCATCCTCATTATGGCATTACAGGTACAAGACAGGACCAACTCTGACAGGCTAGCTGGCTTCCATGCGCTCACCTGAGACTAGAAGGGCAAAGAGCAGTTGAAAATAACTTGCTTAGGTTGCAGGGAAACTTCTTTCCAGTTTAGGACCAGGTTTCATGCAATTTTGCCACCATGAACTATAAAAAGTCACAAACACTTTCAAAGCTGGATAAAATGTCTATCATAACTATACTACAAAGGTCAGCGGTGGTGCTGGTATTCTACCTTTCATCCACTATTTAACCTGCACAGGAAATTAGGAACTATCTTGTTCGCTTCAAACATTTACTGAGTCTCTAGAATGCATCAGGCACTATTAGGTGTTTTCATACACATTTCTAATTTTTACAACCCATCTATATTTTCTTAAGATGAGGTGGTTGGAAAACTGAAAGGTTAAAAAACTGAAAGGAAACTCTGTGACCTTCCCAACGTCACAGAGCCCTTCCATGGCAGGGCAGGAAAGGGAACCCAGCCCTGCCTGACTCCCAAGTTGGCATTCTTTCCCTAAGGAACTTTAAGCACCTTGAAAACACCAGTCACAATGCCAAGCTGTTGGCAAGCCCTTAATTCTTGCCTACCTTCTCGACAGCTCAGAAGACATGGTTTAAAACGTCCTTCACTGCTCCATTCATACAAGACGATGAGCTTCCACTCCCAGAATAGCAAGACTATGGAGTCTGTCCATCTATCCATTTTGTTTTGGGTGGCCTCAAAAAGTAGATATTGCTCGGACATACTCCTCCCCATAAAACAGAAACAGAGCGACTACTTTCTGTTTCCTTTCCCGAGTCTGGGAAGAGACGCGACTGCCACCCTGCCCTGCCCTCCGACTACCCGTCTTCTCGAGCGTCTCAGCCCCCTGCCCGGGCCACCTCGCCCCTCAGCTGTCCCGTGCGGTCCAGAAAGACGACACTTTTGATCTCCAATCCCCTTAAATGGGGACCCGAGACAGGGGGAGGGGCCCTGAGCAGGGACAGGGACCGCGCGGAGCGCTGCCAGCGTCGGGCGCCCCCGTTCCACGTGGCAGAGCCGAGGGGTTGTGATCTCGGCGGGAGCAGGGAGGGCGGGAGGCTGGGTTGGCGACGCGAGGGAGCCAAGGTGGGTGCGGGGACCTTGGGGACGGCCCCTCCCGCCGCGAGCCCCGCAGGTCCCGGAGACCAGCAGGTGGGCAGGCTCGGCCCCTTCCCCCCATCCCGCGCTCCCCGCGGACAGGGTAGCCACTGGCCCCGCCGTCGCCTCGGAGACTGCTGGGCCCGCCGCCCGCTCCCCTCAGCGCCCGCCGCCGCCGCCCGGGCCTACCTTGCTGGTGAGGTCCAGCTCCGGCTCGCCGTTGAGCGCCTCGCCGTCCTCGCTGCAGTCCGAGTCGAAGCCGCCGTGGAGTCGGGCGGCGGCCGCCGCAGCCCTGGCCGCCCCGGGGGAGCTGGGCTCAGGGGCGAACATACAGGCCGGGACCGGCGAGTCCATCGCGGAGCGACTGCGCTCCGCCGCCATCTTTAATAACTTAGGCTAATTCGTAGCCGGCTTCCCTCCTCCCCGGCTTATTTGACTAATCTATGCACCGGCCCCGCCCCGCCCCTCATCGGAATAATTTATGCAAAACTTCTCCAGCCGCGTACTGGGTGACACGTATCTCTAGCTAAGAAACAGTCGACCAGGCCTCTCAGCCACCAATCCCGGCAGTGCTTTCAAGTACCTAATGAATAATTAATGAGGCCCTAACCCCAACATCAAATGTCTTGAGACGTCAAGCGCCCCGCTCCCAGCTTGGGAGGGAGCAGTACCGAGTCCTCGCTACCCGCCTGAAGCCTTCCCGCCAACGGGAGCAGAGCAGAGCATGACTGACACAGGATTCATCCAATGAGAAGAGAAATACGAACGTTACTCGTCAACGCCCCTTCACTCCCTTGTTTCCAGAGGCGGTGCTAAGCCTGCAAATCTTACTGAAAAACAGTAGGCGCTGTGAGCCTTCCGATGAGGGACAGAGGCAGGACCCAATCGAATCATAGAACAGGTCCCGCGCCTGGACCGCTGCTCACGGAGATAGTAAACTGCAAAATGAGCCTCCCACTCGATTCAGTGACTGAGGCAGTAACTGGAACGCCGATGTCCAACGTGCTGGCATGCTCCAGGCAACTTTAATAGTAGAATCGATGCCGTACTATAGCAGCCAGAGTGAGGCAATAATTAAATGCTGACCTTAGGGAGAATTCTCCAGTCACTGTCTTTGCGGAGACAATTACATGAACTAAAAACAGAAGCAAGCACCTAAAATTAAAAGCCAAAAACCACCTCGCCACTTCTGTGGTAAACTGCTAAGCCAAGATCTAGGGTATGATAAGGTAATTTCCTATGGATTATTTTCCAGCGTCATCAGTTGTGAAAAACCCCAACCCCAAATGCCATCAGCACGTTTTAGTGTCCTGAATTCCTGTTTCAAAAGTCGGGAAAGCCTAGGCCTTCATTGCTCGGTGAAATTGGGGCTTAACCAACGTCTGGTAACATTGGCCTTGGCCACTCATTCCAGGGATCAAGTAAGCAAGAGCATGTTTGAGAAGATAAGGAACCCGAGATTTAGGGTTTGAACCTAAACCCTAAATCTTTAGTGGGCAAGTGGCAGGACTGAAAATGGCTTTCAGTTTTGGGGATCTATCTGAGAAGAAAGAGACGGTTTCTTCTTGTCCCTGTTTTCCACTACCATCAAGTCTTCTTTGCACAAACACAGCTGGGAATCTTGGACAGAAAGTCATCTGATTCCAATGGTCTTGATACTGTTCTTATGTGCTTTTTAATTTCTTCCTTGCCAAACTGCTCACCATCACCCTATATGGGCTGAGAGCGATGGCTCACACTTGTAATCCCAGCACTTTGGGAGGCTGAGGAGGGCGGATCACCTGAGGTCAGGAGTTCAAGACCAGCCTGGCCAACATGGTGAAACACCATCTCTACCAAAAACACAAAAATTAGCTAGGTGTGGTGGCATGCGCCTGTAATCCCAGGCCACTCTGGAGGCTAAGGCAGGAGAATCCCTTGAGCAAGACTCCATCTCAGAAAAAAAAAGTTATGGAGGCCTGAACTCATAACTGGCTTCTGAGGGAGGGGCACGGTCTTGTAGGACTGACCCCTCAACCAATGGGATCTGACAGTATCTCCAGGTAGATAGTGTGAGACAGCATTGAATTGAACTAGAGGCCACCCAGCTGGCCTAGTTCCCTGCAGAACTGATGGGTTGCTTGCGGGGAGAAATCCACACATTTTGGTGATCAGAGGTATTGTAGTGATAATTTTAAAAAACAGATTTTGGCTTTTCCTCTGTAGCCAAGATTGATAGCATCTCATCAACTGGCTCTTCTAAAGAGTTCAAGTCGGCCAGGCACGGTAGCTCAAGCTTGTAATTCCAGCACTTTGGGAGGCCGAGGTGGGCAGATCACCTGAGGTTAGGAGTTGGAGACCAGCCTGACCAATATGGAGAAACCCCATCTCTACTAAAAATACAAAATTAGCCAGGCTTGGTAGTGAATGCCTGTAATCCCAGCTACTCAGGAGGCTGAGGCAGGAGAATAGCTTGAACCCAGGAGAGGGAGGTGTGATGAGCTGAGATCATGCTATTGCACTCCATCCTGGGCAACAAGAGCGAAACTCCAGCTCAAAATAAAAAAAAAAAATCAAGTCCAGAATGTGCTGACAGCCTGAAAGCCAACTAAAACACATGCCCTTTGCACTATAGCCTTTACCCAGAAAAGTCAGAGAAGGTACTTTTGAATTCAATGGGGAACTCTAACACGACATTTTAGAGGAGGAAGTCTCTACCCTAACCACATCTATATGTCTTTCTGAAGAAAAGTTGGAGACTAGGTTCAGATTCTGTATTCACCACAAACTGGGTTCACATATCATATGTATGTAACGGTAAGCAAGTTAACTTCTCCGAGTTTGTTTTCTCTTCTAAAGATATAAAGTATCTAGACCGGGTGTGGAGGCTCACACCTGTATTCCTAGCACTTTGGGAGGCCGAAGCAGGCGGATCACAAAGTCAGGAGTTTGAGACCAGCCTGGCCAACATGGCAAAACTCCAGCTCCACTAAAAATGCAAAAAATTAGCTGACTATGGTGGCGTGTGCCTGAAGTCCCAGCTACTGCTATAGTACAACTCTTGGAATGTACGGCATCGATCCTACTATTAAAGTTGCCTGGAGCATGCCAGCACGTTGCACATCGGCGTTCCAGCGACTGCCTCAGTCACTGAATCCAGTGGGAGGCTCGTTTTGCAGTTTACTATCTCCTTGAGCGGTGATCCAGGGGTGGGACCTGTTCTATGATTCGATTGGGTCCTGCCTCTGTCCCAGCTACTCGGGAGGCTGAGGCAGGAGAGTTGCTTGAGCGCAGCAGGCAGAGTTTGTAGTGAGCGGAGATCACGCCAATGCACCCCAACCTGGGTGACAGAGCAAGGCTCTGTCTCTAGAAAAAAAAAAAGAAAAGAAAAGAAATAAAGTATCTAATAGGATAATCAGCTGCAAATGAACTAATATATGTAAAGCACTTAGAACAGTGCTTGCTGTACAGCAAGCCCTCAAACTAATCACATGTAAATAAAAGCATATCCGTGGGTAGCTTACAAATTACAAAAATGTAAGATAATCCAGAAGTTGGCTGGACAGAGGCAAAGTGTTCCCCACCTTTTGGCAGGCACTCCAGCATGTTAAATTATAACATTGTTGAGTGTAATGGTGTTAAAATAATTGCGTTGGCCAGGTGCGGTGGCTCACGCCTGTAATCCTAACACTTTGAAAGACCAAGACGGGCAGATCACTTGAGCCCTGGAGTTCGAGAGTTCCAGACCAGTTTGGGCAACGTGACGAACATCTCTACAAAAGTAAAAATAAAAATTAGCCAGGTGTGGTGGTCCCTGCCTGTAGTCCCAGCTACTCAGGAGGCTGATGCAGGAAGATCACTTGAGCCCAGGAGATCGAGCTGTGATCACGCCACTGCACTCCAGCCTGGGAAACAGAGGAAGACCCTGTCTCAAAACTAAAACTTAAGGCCGGGCGTGGTGGCCGACGCTTGTAATTCACACACTTTGGGAGGCCGAGGCCGGTGGATCTCAGAAGTTCCAGACCAACCTAGCCAACATGGTGAAACCCTGTCTCTACTAAAAATACAAAAATTAGCCAGGCATGGTGGCAAACGCCTGTAATCCCAGTTACGCAGAGGCTGAGACAGAATTGCTTGAACCGGGAGGTGGAGGCTGCAGTAAGCCGAGATCCAACCATTGCAATCCAGCCTGGGCGACAAGAGTGAAATCCCGCCTCCAAAAAATAAAGACTAAATTTGAAGTGCGACTTCTTCCTGTTTTTCCAGTTTTATTAAAAACCCAAAAGGAGGGAAACTACCCTAAGAGTAGGTAAAGAGAAAAAATAATGAAATCCAGGTGCGACTGAGCGTTTTCCCGACAACGCACACAATGCGCTTAGGTCTATGCAGAGAGGAAAGCCACAGTGAGAAGAGCGGGGAGCCCCAAGGCAAGAGGACAGTGGCTTGTGTGTACTGAACCCAAATGCGACACTAAGGAACTGCAACAGGATTCTCCTTCGCACTTGAAATGTGACTCCAGCGAGGCACCTACCCTTGGCGCTCCCTGAACAGCGCGGCGCGGTCGGGCGCACTAAACAAGTCAATTTGCGCTCGACCGAATCAGGTGCTTCGCAATCCCCCCCTGGTGAGCAGCGCGTTAGCCACACATAAAATGGTCAACGCAGGAGGGCAGGACCGCTCGGCCGAGAAGCCCGGCCCAGAGAGGGGAGGGGTGCGCAGAGCCGCGGACAGTAGCTGCTGGTCTGACGGCCGCCCCGGAACAACGCCCACACCCGGGAGAAGGGCAGGCGGGCGTTCTGGCAGGACTCCCTCAGGCCGCCCCGCCCCTCCTGGGACGGCGCCGAGCCGAGCCGCCAGACCCCGGCCCGGCCGGCCGCCGCCGAGCTCCGCAGCCCAACACCGGAGGCCCCTGCAACAGCCCAAACCCTCATCGGCGCCGGGACTCGCCAGGCATCCGTTGCTCGCAGGCAGGCTTCGATGACGTCATCCGTGACGCCACGGCGGGGAGGAGCGGGAGGGCGTTTCCGGGGCACGCGCCGGGAGGGGGCCGCTGACGTCGGGCTCAGGTGCGCGCGCCCGCCCGCCCGCCCGCGCGGCCCAGTTGGCGGCCCGCACTCCAGGTGGAGGCCGGCGGCGGTGAGGGGCGGTCGGCGGCGAGCAATCCCCGGGGCGCTGGGGGCTGCAGCCGGGGGCGCGGCGGGAGGGCGTCCGGGCCTGCGCTCACGTGACGGGCCGGGAGGTTGGGGTGGGGGCGGCGAGCCGGGCGGGCCGGAGCCCTGGAGCGCTAGGCGGACTCTGCGGCCCCACCCCTCGCGGGCCTGGCTGCTGCGGCGCGGAACCTTCCCTCCGGCAGGGGCTGGCCCCGCCGCGCACTTCCCGCGCCCGCTCGCCGCTGACCTGAGTTGTCTCCTTCGCAGGGCCGCGGCCAGAGGGCGAGAGTCCGCGCCTTCCGAGGGAGTCGCGTCCTGCGGGCCCCAGCGCA